ATATATATATATATATATATCTGGGATAACTGTACTGCTGAGGTCTAATGGTTTATTGAAAGGTACAGCTTAATTTTTTTGACCAATTGTGCATGCTTATACCTGGTAATCTGAACAACTAATTTGAAGATAACAATATGCAACATAACAACCATTTGTGAATTCCTACCATCTTGACTAGTGAAACTCTATCGTTTCTAATGGCTTTTTTAAAAATTATTTTTTATTCTCTTTAATGGTTTGATCAATCTTGCATTCTCACATCTGGTAATCTGAGCAACTTTGTTGAAGATAACAATATCTAATACAACAACCACTGTTAATTCTTATCATTTTGTTTTGAAACCCTGTGTCATTTTTATTATTTGTGCTTTGTTGTGTTTTTGTCTGTGTTGCTGCTATTTTGCTACTGATCTTTTTTAATTCTCTTTAAAATAAAGTTGAAAAAGTAAAAAGTAAAAGAATGTAACCCTAGGCTGGGTGTGGTGGTGCACGCCTGTAATCCCAGAACTCGGGAGGCTGAGGCAGGAGGATCGTTGCAAGTTTGAGACCAGCCTGGGCTACAAAGTGAGCTCAAGGCCAGCCTGAACTGCATAGCGAGACCCTGTCTCAAAAAGACAAAAAACAAAACAACAACAACAACAACAAAATGTAACCCTAAAAAGAGAAAGAACAAGAAAGGAAAGAGAGCAGGCAGCAGCCAACTCTGGTTCATCTTGGCAGCCCTTTCCTTCCAGGGAGAAGAGGACAATGGGGGGCAGTTCACATCCTTGAAGAAGGTGGGTGAAGGCACCAGGTCAAGGGGAGAGACTCAGTTCTGTGGCCCAGCACCGCCTCCCTAAGAACATCTCTGTGTGCAGATTCCCCATCTCCATATATACCTCAGTTGCTGTGGATGGAGCCCCAGAGCTTGGGCACGGTAGGCAAGGGCTGTACCCTGAGCTACAGCTACAGCCCAGCCTAAGCCCCAAGGAGAATTCTATCAGAGCAAGTCATGTGACCAGTGATTCTTTACTTGAGGTTAAAGCTCTAAATGTTGTGGGGGGAAAAAAATCAATAACATACAGAAAAATATTTTTAACAATAGCTCTATGTTGGCGTATCTTTCCAGTGGTTTTCTTTTTAAAATGCTTCATACATCACAGAAATAATCAATAAGACTTCTTGCCCCGAATAGTTGCATGATTGCCAAAATTGTGAGACAGTTTGTTCTTTTTTTTCTGGTATAAATAATGCACATTATACGTAAGTCTTTGTTCCTGATTAACTGTCTGATAAATTTCCAGAAGTAGTGTCAATCGGGTCACAAGGTGTGAGCTTACTGTCAATGTCCCTTTGTGAAACATGAGCCCATCACACTGTCAGTACCAGTGTCCTACTCACCCAGTCCCTGCTCACCGAATCCTTCTAGCAACTGTGGGCTGCTTTTCAAAGTTCTAACTTTGGGAATGTGTAAAATTTATCAAATTACTACAGTATTTTGCTATGTTTTACATGATAATGAGACTGGCCATTTTTCATGTGTAAACTGACTAATATATTCTAGAAATGAGCTCCAGGCTAGTTGCTCATTGTGTTCAAGACTGGTCCTGATACTCTTTCTTAGCAATCTATATGAATCCTTCAAAAATTAAAAAAATAAAGTTTGTATTACATTTATGACAAAGGTCCTTTCTGGTTTTGGAATTTGCCTTCTAAGAGGATTACAACTATGACCCACTAGAC